CACGACGCTACCTGATAAAGAGAAGAAAAAGATCATTCGGGAAATTGTTCAGATTATTTTGTCTCGCAATCAAAAAACGAGTAGTTTTGTTGACTGGAAAGACCTCAAGCTTGTTTACAAAAGGTGTGAGTAATTTTATGAGAACATATAATTATTATTCCGATGAATAACACATGCGAGGGGAGGAAAAATAAAGGCTCACTTGAAGAAAGCCCTAAGTGCTAGGCTAAGCCAGTAGGAGCCTGCCAGCAGCGATCTAATTGCAGCATCCCTGGATAAATTAGCAGGGCAAATTGTGGGGTGGAAAATACTTGTACGATCTGCCAAATGAGAGAAACAGGAGTAACCTCATTAGTGGTTGAAATTCTGTTGGAAGGCTTCAGACTTCACTGCTTCCACCAATTCCCCAAGGTCGCCTGCCGAGACGTGCGCTGGGCTGATGGGGCTCTTCAGGAGGCTGCAGGAGCTGGTCTGAGCCACTGTCAACATTCTGTCAAACTGTGTCTTTCGAAATACTTGTAGTTCCAGAAAGTGTTAATTCCCATTTCCTTTTCCAAACAAATCCCTGGTCCCCAATTATGGGATGCTTTTGCTGCCTGTTAATTCCTGTCAAACAAAAGCAGCCGTGAGGAGAAACTTCCGTTTAGCAAAAACTGGAGTGATGGGTGGGAACCAGAGAGCTGAGGTAGATGGTTACTCCTGCCTTGGGCGGACTGAAACCTACAGTTTTGCTGCGAGCTAGTTACGGGGATTGGTGGCTCTCAGAGGTTTTATGCTTTCCGGCCCTATATAAAACACTGTCAGCCAGTCAATAGCCACCTCACCGGGATGTAACTCCTTCCGCCTTTATTTTTGCCTTTGTTTTTTAATAAAGCGCAGTAGCTCATTCTACAGTGTCATTAACCCCACTTGCTGGGGTGCTGTTGCAGCAGGTGAGGGAGACCTTAAAGTCCCGCTGGTTTAATGTTTGCTTTAGTAAGACCAGCGTTGGAGGTCCCTCGCTTTGTCAAGGGTCGGGTTTGTTTTTCGAACTAAATGAATAAAGTGTTTAAATACCTGATCTTTTTAAGTGTTCTTTGGGAGGCTGCAAGAATGAAGGAGAACGGTTATTTTAGAAACCAGCTAGACATCAGCTGTCATTTGCATCACTTCTGAGAGGCGGATGAGCAGCACCTGCTGACCGGGCTCCTCACTCTCACATGTTTTTGCCTTCGTTTCCGTAGGTACGCTAGTTTGTATTTCTGCTGTGCAACAGAAGACCAGGATAACGAGCTCCTGACACTAGAGGTCGTTCATCGATACGTAGAGCTTCTGGACAGATACTTTGGAAACGTAGGTTTCACTTTCTCCCACAGGCCGTGTTCCTGGCTGGCTGGCAACCAACGCTTCCCTGAAGCTGTTTTGCTTCGTATTTCCATCGGCACTGATTGCTCCGTAGACTCTCTCAATCCAGAGTGGAATCAAGTATTAGAATGTTTTATAAAACAGTGCTGAAGCTCTCATAAGATGGTTTTTCCATCCTTTCTCCTGCCTCTCCGAGTTAATCTTGATGTTTTGTAAGTCTGGCTTGGAGTAGAAATTGAGAGGAAAGCTTGAGGAAAACTACTTTTAAAAACCACCTGGCTGACAATACTTTAGTTCTCTCTCCTGATGCCTTCAGGTACACTGGGTTTGTTTGTTTCGTAATATTGCATAACATAAGAAGAGGAAAAAGGTGAAGACATAAGAAGAGGAAAAAGGTGAAGTGGGTGTTTTTTTAAAGAAAAGATTTTAAGAAGGTCCAAATAAGTCTTAAAAGACTACAAGAGATCCACCTTTTTGATGAATATTTTTGAAATCCTTCCCACTACCTTAATTTGTTGAAATCACTGTGCAGTGACTCAAGTTTGTAGCTTCTCGAAGCAAAGCAGGGCTTGGTGACGGTAAGGTCGCTAGCACGGGGAGTTTGCCTTGCTCTCTGGAAGGGCACGTGAACATATGGAACTCATATTCCAAGTGCTGCGTGAGCCCTGCTGTAAGGTTAGTAGGCTAGGAAGTCAGCTTTTTTCTTGGAAAACCCTAATGAATGTTGGCGCGTTATATCAAATACAGTCAGTGGAGTGCCTTTGCTGGGAGTCTGGGCTGGATATCTGAAGGGATCAGGATCTTTCTGCACCCTGCTCCCTGCCCCAAGAGCGCACCTGGTGAATACAATTGATCATCTCAACAACTTTTTTTTCATTAGTGCTTATGATGCCAGAGAAGTGATTGAGATGTGGGGTGTCTTTTTTGTCCCGGCAGGTGTGCGAGCTGGATATTATCTTCAACTTTGAAAAAGCTTATTTCATTCTCGATGAGTTTATAATTGGTGGAGAAGTACAAGAAACTTCAAAGAGGTCTGTGGTGAAAGCCATAGAAGACTCTGACATGTTGCAGGAGGTAAGGCAGAGGAAGACAAAAGGCAAACATCTCATCTTCCTGTATTTTCCTTGTTTGATGGGAGCTTAAAATACAGCTGAGCACTTCTGGTGATTAATTATCCCGTTTCAAGAAGTACAACAATAACTGTTAGAGTTTCTTGAATATTGCATTAAAAAATAGTTTAAGACATATCTAATATTTCTATAATATAAGAATATAACTTAAGATGATATTTTAGCAGTATAAATGTGTGTATATAAATACAGAAAAATGAGTTCTGTTTCACTGGAAACAGACGACCTACTATTAACATCCAGAATTGGAAGCTGGCAAGCTCCACTTTCCTTCATAAACACCCCTGTAGTTTTTCTGCAGGGTGCAGGTGTGTAACCTTTATTCAGAGCCCTGCAGGAATTCCCTTCTGTAACTGGTACCGTTGAGCCGGGAGCGGCAAAAGCGGTTGAACGTGATGGATTTACTTCATTTTACCCTGGGTAGTGACGGACCCATTGCAGTACCCGAGGAACTACCTTGAGTTCAGCCACAACAATCATTCAAGTGATTTGAATATCAGGTTCCAAAATGCCGTGAAAGGGCTTCAAAGCAGAATTATTTCTGCATTTTAATTAATCTCATCTAATTCCATGCAAAACTATTTTCAAAGGGTTTATTTGAATGTTACTGTACTACTCCATAATGCAGCAGTTGTTTCTTTTTTTCTTCTTTTTTTTTTCCTTTTTCTTTTCTTCCAGACAGTGGAAGAGTACATGAGCAAGCCTGCATTTTAATGTTAAAACTACCTGGAGCAAGAGCTGCTGTATGCACCTGGAAAATGCACTTCCTGAAATTGCTTCCTGGTGTGCCAGATCCTCAGAGAAATACCCAAACCCCGTAACTTCTTTGTATAATGGTGAAGATGAAGGTCAGCTAATGTAGCAGAGGGTTTAACAATTCTGTACGTGCGTTACTCTGCATCGACGTTTCTCAGGGTTGTTATTGCCCTTAATCTAGTTTCTCTTCTCCTTGCTGGACTGAACACTTGTTTTGTATCATGTCTCTTAGCCACAGGTTTTGTCATCATAAAACCTTGCTCTGACACAACTTTGAAGAGGTATTTTTACTATTTTGGTCTACTGCTGACCGCATGACTCGACTTTTGTACAAATATCCCTTATTTTGAATGTAACGATTATTCTGCTCTAATAATAATATTTTTTTTTTTCTAAAAGCCAAATTGTTGTGGGCTCTGATTTCACAAGCTGGTCTTGAAAAGATTAACCCGTCTAGGCTAAAAAGAGAGAAGGTGCTCTCTGGACCAGCCCCTTTCTTCCACTGTCTTCCTTCTATGTTCTGCTCTCCTCTGCTAATAAGACCGCTCCGCGCTCAGCACCTCCAGGTGAAGGAAGACTGCCGCGACTCAAGGTTGGCTTCTCCCAGGTGTAACGAATCCTTTTTTGCTGCTGCATGCAAGTGGCCTGTCTCTGTTGTAATCCTCATTTTCCTAATCCATTTCCTAAATCCTCTGGACCTGGCCAAAGGGTACAACCTTTGGAAACGTGCTGCTTGAGAGCAGGAGATATCACAAGGAAAGACATTATTAGTCTTTGGAATTTTTAGGGTGAAGAACTTTTCATGTCTATTTTGGTATCCCCCAATAACCGCCTTTCCCGGTAGAGTTTTCCCAATTCACACACCTGTTGGGCTGATCAACTTTCTTGTAGTTGAATGTGGCCCATTTTTATGAAGCTTGGGCAGTTTAATCAACTTTTTATAACCCTATATGCTGCAGGAATGGAAAAAATGGTAAAATAGTAGTGAGGAGAGGAATCAGCTGGGCTGCACATCTTATTGAGTGTTATGAAACCTGGTCACTGTCAGCACAATTTGGATTCTATAGACTGACTGACCTGGCTTCCTTAGAGAGATTATCGCCTCCTTTAACACAACTCCAAGCTCAGAGAAATTCTCTTTACCTTAGCCTGTAACTCGTAGCTAGATGTTGGGTCTCTGTCAAAACACAGCATTAGCCGGTGCAAAAATTAGGTGTGTTATCAGACGAACGCGCCAGAATGATCCGAGCATTTCCCTTCACTGGGTATTTGCTTTCGTTTCTGGCATGTACAATCAGTATTTTCCTTCAGGGATTTTTCTAATCTTTAAACATCCTGCATGATTATTCTATTTTTATTTTTTTTTTCAGTGTTCCTTCCTTCCTTCCCAGTCTGTGTGTGTCTGCCTGGGGAGGGGTTTGGGGCTTTTTTTGGAGGGTGGGAACATTTTGACAACGTTGCTCGTTGCCTGCCCACTTTTCTGCCTGTTTCACCTGGTCTGTTAGTAAAACTGTGACAAGCTGGTTCCTAGCGTCACGCTGCTCTTTTTATAATTACTTGATCCATCTGTTTTCCCTGTATTGATGTCAAAGGCGTACTTTCAGCATTGAAAAAAATAGTGAAATCGCTGAGGGGCTTTTAATAGCTCCGATGACGTTCAATTTTAAGAGTAAATTAATGAAGTTGTAGGAGTTGTATATTATTTCCTCATGGCTTGAAATGAAGTTTTTTAAAGTAAGAGTGTTTAATTGATTAAGAAGCCACTCCAGAATGTGCAAAGAGGCTCTTTCCGCTCTTTACTTTTATAAGTGACTTGTGTTCGGTGAAATCATCAGTACCATTTGCTTTACTCTTTTTCTCGGAGCCCTGCTGTGTTTCTTTGACTCTTACAGCTGTCGTGTTGCTTGATTTCTGGAGTACATCAAAACAGGAGCTCCAAGAAAATTCCTTGGTATGAGTAAGGCTGTCATAAGCTTGTCTTTCCAGTTGTTCTGAGAGCAGCTGTAGCACTCTGTTGCCTGTCTGGATACCTCCATTCTTTGATTTTTCTTAAAGCAGGAGATACGTGCGTCTTTGTAAATGCTCACAGATCTCTCTGGAGCATTGCCCGTTTCATTTAGGTTTGCCGTTGCCGTTTCTCTTTCCAACTAGCCGGACTACTCTAGGAAATGCTCAGTGTAAAGTTTTCCCAGGTGACCTTATGAAATTATCATTGAAAAAGTATTAGAAAGCAGGTTCCTTGACAGTTTTGCCAACCTGACTAGCCTCTTCTGCAGCCATTTAAATTCTCACCTTGCTGACGAGCTTCAGGCGCATGTGTCCTAGTTCACAAAATCACATTTACTAAAATAACCCTTAATCATGGTCGTGTTACTAGCCTGGATTCCCTTCCTTGCTTTTGCCAGCTGTATCTGACAAAAAGCTTCTCGATTTTCTTGGTGCCTGGAGGATTCCCACTGTGGATTGCTGCTTACTGGTTGTGACAGGGCTGGTTTTCTGTCGTGCAACTATTTGCAACTCATGAGTTGTGACACTTTCGAACACATCACGGCAATTAGAGAGAGAGACAGACATTAGACTGGGATAAGAATAAGTGTAATAATGTCAAAAGGAATATTAAATCATCGTGAGAGGCAAGAGTGGCAGGATCTCACAGGATTCATGAATTCTTATAATTCCTGTTTCTTTTTTTCAATATGCGTTTCTGAGTGCCGTGGCTCATTAAGAGGTGTCAACGCTTACAAAATAACTGCAGGAACAGTGACATTACAGTTACCTCCTGTCAGCCTTTGTTTAAGAAAAAAACCCTGAAAGAAAATCTTCCACACCTTCCCCCTCGCGCCTCGTACAAACTCCCTGCGCTCCTAGAAACTCAGGTGGGAAATGTACTGTGAAGTTCAGGTATGGTTCCATTTCTGAATTTATGTTGGACAGAGAAATGCCATACTTCTGAAAGGCTGAATTACTATTTTTTTTCATTTATTTTACAGTCCTTTCAATAGGTAACACATTCTGTACCCTCTGCTGAGCACTGTGCTGTGCTGGAGAGATGCAGCACGCACCAACGGTACATGAGGGGTCAGGAGGGATCAGTTTATGAGGAAAAATCAGAAGAATTTAACAGTACGGGGGAGGCCTTCAAAGATACCTGGAGACCTTTAGTCAACGGTCCCCTTGAAATAACAAGGCTCAATACATTTTACAGAGAGAAAAGGCGTTTGAAAACATTTCTGTTTGCGCAGCTCTGGTGTGAGGAGGGTGTTGCTCTCACCTTGCACCCAGTGACTAATCCCAAAGGTCTCACTGCTGCCGTTCATCCCTCTGGTGGGCTTGTCGTTAACTTTATCCGATGCCTTTGTGAGCACGGAGCCTGCATCATCAGCTTACCTCATCCTATTTTCATTTTAGACGGCTGCCAAGGACTTGTGAGCTCACACCAGCTAAAAGCATCCTCTCGGGGAACGTGACGACGTTGCTGCTGAATTCAGTAGCTGGACCGTGGTGCAAATAAAATACAGCTGTTCGTTTCAATGGCTGTCGGGATTTTTAAAATTTTTTTGTCTCCATGAAGATAGCTGGTCTAGGTCGAAGTATAGGAGCGAAAGCTTAGTGTTTGTAGCAGAAATAACGGGCTGTGCTGCAAGAGACTTAATGTTTGCTGTCATGGAAACCTGTTGCCTTGGAACATGACTAATGAGACCCAGGCTAAGGGAAAGGAAGAAGCTATTCTTGAAATTAGTCTTCAGCCAACCCTAAGGAAGACCTGCAATCCACATTGTCATAAAGTGCAGTTGTTTTGAGTTTTGTTGTCTAGCTCGCTTCACTTTGTCTTGTATTTACTTACTTAACAGCTCTTGGAACCCCGCGTTTTCATACAAAGAATGTTATAAAACAGCTCAAAGCTACTCCTTTGACCATCTAGAAATAAATAGCATCTTATTTGTGCTCCTTTTTTCCCAGCACGCTGCAAAACTTGTGCAACTTTTGTGGAAAAGGCACACCAAAAACTCAACTTGTGGCTGGTCTGGAATGCCCCGGTAAGCCGGAGGTGGATATTAGCAGTTTAGCTGGGGATTTCTTTTTTTGGTTGCAGTTGTTTGTTTTAAAGACGGTCGAGGTACGTGAGGTGGGGAGCATCTTCACGGAAGTTTCAGGTGGAATAATAGATTCTTTTTATTTCTATTTCTCAAGAGGGCTTTGAGATGTGGTCCTAGTATTATGCTGGATAACAGCTCTGAAAGAACAACCTGACAATGTTGGCAAGAAAGGAATATTCCGGGGGAAAATAACAAAGGGCTGGCTGGGTTTGAGAGCTGACAGCTGCCTTCGGGAAGAGGGAGGATTTTTGCTGGTGACAAGGTGGTCCTTGTGCTCAGAGGCAAAACTGGCTTAGGTAGTCGGTTTGTCTTTGGCAAGGGCTGACGCAAGTGTTACGCTGGCGACGACAAGAATGTTCTGCCGACAAAAAAAGGTACTGCAGAGGGCAGTGAAATGTTGCGGATTATTTTTAAATACGATGACAAAGCATTGATTCATTCTGGTTGGGTTAAAATGAGGAAAAGGCAACGCTTAGCATGCCAGTTCTGTCTGAGTGATGGTGAAAATAATGGAGTGTGTCAAAAATGTTACCTTGTGGTGTGTAACGTTGTGTTTAAGAGTGGAAAGACTAGCACCTCAAGAAGTCTTGTTCATCCTTCAGTCCCAGGCAGGATCAGCTGCGCTTAAATCGTGTCTGTTCTTCAGATCAGCCTGCAGTGGAGATCCCAAAGAGAGAAGACTAAGCCTAGATACAGAAACATTTATTTTTGCTTTGTGAGGGGTTCTTTGGTTTGCTGTCGAACTCCCAGGCAGCACTTAGGTACAAGGCCAAGCTCTGCCTTGGGAGGGGGGCACTGGGTGGTTTAAACCTTGCTTCTGTTGCGTGAACCATATTCGGTTGTGACTCACTGGTAGCCAAACAGAAAATTTAAATAGCAACTAAATGGATGAAAGGCAGAAGCATGACGCTTTTCTTTTTCTCCTGCTTTCTTACACTCTGTAACAGCTCATAACAACCGCACGGGGGGCCTGGATACAGCCAGTCCTTCCTGTAGGAAGCTCAGGCTGCTCCACCAGGGCTCCCTGCCGGGTCGAGGTTTAAATTAATCCCGCTGGCTCAGCGCTGTTGCTTTTCAGACGTAGAAAGCGGGAGTTCTCTTCACTCTTACAACTCCCGAGTCA